TCGCTCCGCCCTCGGCGCGCCCACCCCGGGACGCTCCCGCTGCCTCTGCCTCCCGCGAAGTTTCAGCGAGTCCGCGCCGAGCGGCGCCGCGAGCAGGCTCCGCGGGGGCGCGCCAGGTGGGGCTGGGGCTCCGGGCTGCAGGCGGCTGCCCGCCCGCTCACCCCGCAGGGCGCCCTCTGTCCGCTCCAAGGGTGACAGCCGGGGTAGGGAGCTGGGGGCACGGGGCGGAGGGGCGCTCTGGAGAAGGGCGAGGGAGGGTCGCGCGGCGAACTTGTGGGGGTCTTACGAGAGGAGGGACAGGATGGAGGGGGACGGGAGGAAACGCCGGACCAGGTGAGGCCGGGCCGGCGCCCGGGTAAGCCTCAGAGCCTAGGGGCTTGGGGCCCAGTGCGGGCGGGAGATGGGAGGGGTCTGGAAGAATACTGGGGGGCAGGAAGTCAGTGGGGAGCAGGAATGGGGAAGGTGTGGGGAGGAGCAAGGGCCTCCGAGGCGAGGCAGGGGCAGCCCAGAGAGAGGGTCTGCGGTGAGCGGGAGCCTCCCACCCCGGGTTGGGGGCAGGGGAACTAGGAGGCAGAGGGGGAGCCCACCGAAGGGGGAACGACAGGCGACGGAGGGAGGGAAAGCAGAGGGGGAAGGGAGCCAGACGCTGGGGCTCCCGAGGGGAGGGGAGTTGCGGGGGGAGTGTGTGTGGAAGACGCAGCAGGCACCAAGCCAGGACACAGGCTTCCACGGCAGCAGGAGCCTGTGGGAGAGAATGGGCGGAGGGGAGGGGAGGGGTGAGTGTGGGGGAGGGAAGGGGAGGGAAGGAAGGAGAGGGGAGAAGGGGAGGGCTGGGGGAGGGGGCAGAGCAGGGAGGACAGAGAGGAAGGAAGAGAGGTGGACAGGAAGGGAGGGGAGAAGAGTCAGGGCTGAGGCCCGGGAGACGGAGGGAGGCGGGGCTGCCAGAGAGCCTGCCCCAGAGCAGGGTCAGGGGGCGGTGGGCTGGGGTGGGACGCCACCAGGGAGAAGGTTCCAGCGGTGGGCGGGGCCGGAGGCTGGGGGGAGGGGAGGCTGCTGGGGGAGGGGCCGGCGGGGGGCGGGGTGGGGAGCTGGCGGGGTGCCGTTTGGGGAGAGGTGGTGTGAAGTTGGGTTTTAGGAAGAGGAGGAAGAGCCATTTCCTCCCTTCCTAGAGGCCCCCCCTCTCCTGGCCTCCCCCATCATTTGCTCAGTGGCCACTCCACCTCCTGCTTCTCCCGGCTTTATCCAGCTCCTGCAGGGACAGCTGGAGGGCCTAGAAGATGAAGTGCCTTCTCCCTGGGACTCTTTGGGCTCCTGGGCTTCTCCAAGCAGGGGCACCATGGGGGGGGAACCATACCAGTGCTTTCACGGCTTCTCCTTGGCCACCTTCAGAGGTCTCTGCTTTCTGAATCCAGCCTTCCTCTGTCCCTGGGCACGCCATTCAGGCCCTGTCCTGGGAAGACAGAACACCAGGCGTCTCCTCAGGGTCGGCTGTCCCCAGGAGAAGCTGTGCCACGCCATGAGGGAGTCCTTAGAAGCCCTGAGCCCTGTGGGTGAGCTTGACTCTTAGAGCTGGGATGGGAGGATAGGGGTCCCGGGCTTCCTGTGTTCCTGCAACTCAGCAGCCAACAGAGGCCTCCCAGTAGCTCAGAGGCCTTTGGGGCACCTTAGGCCTGGCACGTGTGTGGGTCATGCAGCCATGTGTGTGTGGTTCTCCCCAGACAGCTCTCCCTTCTGTGTGTACGTGTGTGCATACGTGTATGTGATCCTCCCCAGGCAGCTCTGTGTGTGTGCATGTAGTGCATGTGTGGTTCTCCTCTCCCTTCTCTGTGGGTGTGTGCATGTGTGCGCAGTTCTAATGGGGCCCCTCTCCCTTCTCTGTGTGTCTGTATGTGCATGTGTGGGTCTCAAGAGGCGCTTCTCCCTTCTGTGAGTGTGTAGTTCTTCCCAGGTACCTCTACCTTCTGTGTGTGTGTGTTTGTGACTGTGTATGGATCACACAGGGTGCCTCTTCCTTCTGTGTGTGTGTGTGTGTGTGCTGTGTGTGCGTGCATGCACATGTTCTTCCCAGGCACCTCCCTTCTCTGTGTGCGTGCACATGTGCATGTATGTGTCATTCTGTGTGTGCACACATGTCTACATGTGTGTGTGGTTCTTGAGAAGCACCTCTTCTGTGTGTGTAGGGGTGTGTGTGTGTGTACATGTGTGTGACCTGTATAATTCTCTCTGAGTGCCTCTACCTTCTCCTGCCCTGGATTGTGGGAGCTGAGGGGACGTCCTCGCCAGCTGTGGGGGAGCATGTCCTGTCCCTTATCTCTGCAGCTGAGGACTCTGGCCTAGAGCAGACTGGGAAGTGCCCTGGGTAGGGTGTGAGGGGAAGACACCCTCTCCCATCCCAGTTCTGCTCAGTGGCGGGGGAGGAGCCTTCACCTGGATCCCTCCTTCTCCCTGGAACAGGGTTCTCGGTGAGACAGCCAGCAACAGCCCCCCAGAGTGAGTCCGGGGAAGGGTCCTGTGGTGCTTGGGAGCAGATGTCCCCCACTAGGGAAGAGAGAAGGCTGAGTACCTGCTCAGGTAAATAGATGGGCGAAGTCTTGCTTCCTTTGCCAAATATTTGAACACTGACCATGTGCTGTTCCAGGCATCCAGTGACCAAATAGGCAAAGCTCTTTGCCTTCAAGGATCTTTGGTGGCAAAGCACAAGCCTCAAAGAGCTGGTAACGATAAAGCTGTCAGAAGAGAAGTGCTGGGCAGGGGTTGGGGGTAGGAGGATGTGAAGGCAGGGGAGGAGCTGAACGGCCCTGGAGGGTGGTGAGTGGGCCTACAGGGAGGTGAGCTGTGATCAGGGTTTGGAGGGGTGACTGTGGCAGCCCGGCAGTTATAGGGAGAGGAGCTCCAGTGGGTCACCGGGGCAGGAGGTGCCTCGTTCTGATATGCTGGGTGCCAGGTGGGCACCGGAGCCTCAGGTAATCCTCAGCTCAGGTATTCTGGAAGTCCCAGAGCTCTTCCACTGGCATAGCCTTAGCAGACTCCTTGCCTGGGCATCCGAGGCTAGCTGGGCAGCAGGGTGCAGCCCTGAAGGTGTGAGTGGGGCAGGGAAGACCCACCCACCCATTCAGTGGTTCCCAATCCTTGAGTTGTCCTGTTCTCTGCCAGGGCAAGAGGCTCCCAGACCCCAGCAGGGTGTGCACTCGGAGCAAGGAGAGCCTTCCTGTGGAGGAGGGTGGGCTGGCACACTGCCGAAGGCCGAGTCTGAGGGCTCCTGCCCAGGTGAGTCTCCCTGCACCTCACCCCAGGTGGGGCAGGGGCCCAGCAACCACAGGGCTGCTATGTCCAGGCTCCTTCTGCTGTTAGTACCACTCCCGAGGGAGCTTGGATTCCTAGATAGCGGGTATCAGAGAGGCAGGGGCCACCAAAGACCTGAAATTCCACCTTCCCTCCTTATCCCCTCCCCATCTTTATCAACGTGCTTGTTAACTACAGAAGTCAATTCCCTGGGGGAAGAATGGCACTGATGAACTTTTCACTGTCTCTCCCAGACATGCCCTCTTCCCCAAACCTCTTATTTTCATATGCTCATGCCCCGTATCTGCTGTCTAGACTCAACTCACCACATCCAGGCCCCGAAAGGGTGGTCCTCTTGCACAGCCTTAACATCACTTCCCTTCATCACCACCTTCCTTATCACTGTTTGCCTGAGTCGTAGTGTTTGATTCAACAGGATGTTAACAGTGCCTCTTGTGTATACGCCTGTGCCCTGGTGATGTGGTGATTAAGTCCTTGGGAACAAGGCAAGAGGTCGGCAGTTTGAACCCACCAGCCTCTCCTGGAGAGAAAGATGCAACAATCTGCTTCAGTAAAGATTTACAGCCTTGGAAACCTTATGGGGCAGTTCTTTGTCCTACCACTACCATTGAGTCAATGTCAAGTCATAGTGACTTTATAGCGCTCAGTAGAAGTACCCCATAGGGTTTCCAAGGCTGTCCATCTTTAGGGAACCAAAAAAAAAAAAAAAAAAAAACCCTCAATGCTGTCAAGTTGAATATGACTCATTCAACTCATTCAAGTTGAATCTGACTCCTTGGGTTTCTGAGGCATATCTCTACAGAAGTAGATTGCCCAGTCTTCCTTCCGAGGAGCAGCTGGTGGGTTTGATCTGCCAGCCTTCTGGTTAGCAGTCAAATACCTTAGGCACTATGCCACCAGAGTTCCTGTTTTACAACACTAGATAGGAGAAATATTCAGTATCCTTGTTGTTGTTAGGTGTTGTCAAGTCAACATCAACTCATAATGACCCTATGTACAACAGAACAGAACACTGTCTGGTTCTCTGCCAGCCTCACAGTACTGGCTATGCTTGAGCCCATCACTACAGCCACTATGTCAGTTCATCTTGTTGAGAGTCTTGCCCTTTTTTGCTAACCCTCCACTTTACCAAACATGGTATCCTTCTCCAGGGACTGGACCCTTCTGACAACATGATTTGTTCATTCTTCTGGCAGTCCATGGTATTTTCAGTATTCTTCACCAACACCACAATTCAAAGACATCAGCCCTTCTTCAGTCTTCCTTATTAAGTGTCCAGCTTTCACATTCATATGAGGTGACTGAAAATACTATGACTTGGGTTAAAAAAACACACACAACAAACTCAACTGCCATCAAATAGATTCTAACTCCAACAACCCCCCCCCACATTAGGTTTTACGGCAACAGACCACCTCATCTTTCGTCTGTGGAGCAGCTGGTGGGTTTGAACCACCAGCCTTTTGCTTAGCAGTCAAATGCCTTAAGCACGATTCCACCAGAGCTCCTTCTATGGCTTGGCTTTGGCACACCTTCTTCACAGTGACATCTCTGTTCTCTAACACTTTAAAAAGGTCTTTGCATCAGATTTTTCAAGTGTGATACATCATCTGATTTCTTGACTGCTGATTCCATGGGTGTTGGTTATGGATCCAAGTACAATGAAATTTTTGACAACTTCAATCTTTTCTCCATTAATCATGATGTTACTTATTGGTCCAGTTGTGAGAATTTTTGTTTTCTTTATGTTGAGGTGTAATCCACACTGAAGACTATAGTCTTTATCTTCACCAGTAAATGGTTCAAGTCATCTTCACTTTCAGCAAGCAATGTGGTGTCATCTGCCTATTGCTGCTGTCAATGAGTCTTTCTCCAATCTTGATGCCATGTTCTTCTCATATAGTCCAGCTCCTCAGATTATTTGCTTAGCATATAGATTGAATAAGTATGGTGAAAGGAAACAGCCCTGACACACACCCTTCCTGATTTCAAACTGTTCAATAGCCCCTTGTTCTGTTCAAATGACAGCTTCTTGATCTATGCACAGGATCCTCAAGAGCACAATGAAATGTTCTGCAATACCTATTTTTTGCAATGTTATCCATAATTTGTTCTGATCCACACAGTAGAACAATTTGGCATAGTCAATAAAGTACAGGTAAACCTCTTTCTGGTGTTCTTTGCTTTCAGCCAAGATCCCTCTGACATCAGCAGTGACATTGCTCATTCCATGCCCTCTTCTGACTCCAGCTTGAATTTCTGGCAGTTCCTTGTCAATATACTCCTGCAACCGTTTTTGAATTATCTTCAGGGAGATTTTACTTGCATGTGATATTAATGATATTGTTTGAGAATTTCCACATTCTGTTGCATCACCTTTCTTTGCAATGGGCACAAACATGGATCTCTTCACTTGATTGGCCAGGTACCTGTCTTCCAGATTCCTTGGCATACTCAAGTAAGTGCCTCCAGCGCTGCATCCATTTGTTGAAACATCTCGATGTGTATTTCATTAATTCCTGCAGCCTTCTTTTGTGTCAATTCCTTCAGTGCAAGTGGACTTCTTCCTTTAATACTAGAGGTTCTTGATCTTATGCCACCTCCTGGAACGGATGAACACTGACCAATTCTTTATGGTACAGTGACTGTGTGTACCTTCCCATTTCCTTTAGACGATTCCTGCGTCATTTAGTATTTTGTCCATAGAATCTTTCAATATTGCAATTCAAGGCTTGAATTTTTTCTTCAGTTCTTTCAGCTTGAGAAATGCCAAGAGTGTTCTTCCCTTTTGGTTTTCTAACTCCAGGTCTTTGTTATAATACTATTGTCTTCTCCAGCTGCCTTTTGAAATCTTCTGTGCAGCTCTTTTCCTTCATTGTATGTTCCATTCGCTTTATCTTCTTTTCGTTCAAGAGCAAGTTTCAGACTCTATTCTAACATCCATTCTGGTCTCTCTTCCTTTCTTGTCTTTTTAATGACCTTTTGCTTTCTTCATGGATGATGTTCTTGATGTCATCCCACATCGCATCTGGTCTTTGGTCATTGGTGTTCAGTGTGTTAAATCTGTTCTTCAGATGGTCTCTAAATTCAGGTGGGATATAATCAAGGTCATATTTTGGCTCTCTTGGACTTGTTTTAATCTTTTTCAGCTTCAACTTGAACTTGGAATGAGCAATTGATGGTCTTTTCCAGTCAGCTCCTGGCCTTGGTTTGACCAATGATTTTGAGCTTCTCTATCACCTCTTTCTACAGATGCAGTCCATTTGGTTCCTGTGTATTCCATCTGGTGAGGTCCGTTTGTACAGTCAGCATTTATGTTGTTGAAAAAAGTCAATGAATATGGCATTAGTCTTGCAAAATTCTATCACGTGGTCTCTGGCATCATTTCTATCTCTAAGGCCATACATTCCAACTCTTCTTTGTTTCCAGCTTTCACATTCTAATCACCCATAATTTACAATAATGTAAATATCATTACATCTTGATTGCATGTTTAGTCAATTTCAGACAGTAGAAGTTGGTAAAAATCTTCAATTTCTTCATCTCTGGTTTTAGTGATTAGTGCATAAATTTGAAAATAGTCATATTGCTTAGTCTTCCTTGTAGGCGTATGGATATTACCCTATCACTGACAGCATTGTACTTCAGGACAGATCTTGAAATGTTCTTTTTGTCAGTGAATGTGATGTCATTACTCATCAATTTGACATTCCTGGCATAACAGACTATATGATTGCCAGATTCAAAATGGCCACCACCAGTCCATTTCTACTCACTAATGCCTAGGATATCGATCTTTATGGATTCCATTTCATTTTTGACAACTTCCAGTTTTCCTAGATTCATACTTTGTACATTCCACATTCCCATTATTAATGAATTTTTGCAGCTGTTTCTTCCCATTTTGAGTTGTGCCCTGTCAGCAAATGAAGGTCCCGAAAGCTTTACTCCATCCAGGTCAGTAAGGTTGACTCTACTCTGAGGAGGCAGCTCTTCCTCAGTCGTATTTTGAGTGCCCTTCCTGCTGGAGAGGCTCACCTTCTGGCACTATATCAGACAGTGTTTTACTGCTATTCATGAGGTTTTCAGTGTTCAGTTTTTTCAGAAGTGGATGGCCCTGTCCTTCTTCCCAGTCTGTCTTAGTCTGGAAGCTCTGCTGAAACCTGTCCACCATGTGTGACTCTGCTGGTATTTGAAATACCAGTGGCATAGCTTTCAGCCTCATAGTCACACACAAGCCACCAAGGTATGACACCTTGACAGATGAGTGGTGGTTCAGCATCCACAATACATTCAAACACAACCCGTTTTTTTAAACACTCTGGCTTCATCTCCACACCTTGATTGTCTTTCCACCTTGACTGTGCCCACCAGCAGGCCTCTCCTTAGCCCTTGGCCTGTTGATCCTTCAACCCTCAGCCAATTCAGTCAGGCCTCTTTGGTCAGCTCAGCCTTTGCCCTGCTTGGGTAAGTGTTACAAAACTCTAGTTCCACAAGTAAGTGCCCAGAGGCACCCACTCTGCCCAGCTCTTTTGCTTTGTGGGTCAGCCATGCACTCCACCTCATCAGCAAGTCTCCTGCCAGAAGTGCTCAGCTCTCTTCTGGTGGGCCAGGAAGCCCACAGTGCCACCTCAACCCTGTCTCCTGGTTTTACTGTCTGCTATTTCTCTATCACTGCTTCTTGCCATCTCTTTCTTTCTCAGGTTTTACAGCTCTCTGTCTCCTGGGTCTAGGAGGGTCTCAGTGTAGGGACCCTGGGTCCAAAGAACGCACTCCACTCATCTTTTCTTCTTCGTGGTAATGGGCCCCCTTTCTGCCTCTGGGAGGGCTCACGCTAAACCTAGTGGATGGCAAAACTTACCAATCCCCTCATTAGGGTTCCATGTACCTTATTTGCATGGTCCCACCCCTGCATGGGTTCCATGCACCTTATTTGCATGGTCCCACCCCCACATGAGTGTCATACACCTTATTTACACTATGAACAAGTTACGCAGTCCCCTTGGTGATCCACAAGCACCTAATTTGCATGTTGTTGTTAGGTGCTAGTGAGTCAGATCCAACTCACAGCGACCTTTTTACAACAGAACAAAACAGTGCCTGATCCTGTGCCACCCTCACAATCTTTGCTATGCTTGAGCCCATCTGTTGCAGCCACCATGTCATCCCATCTTGTTGAGGGCCTTCTTTCTTTCCCTCTACTTTACCAAGCATGATATCCTTCTCCATGGACAACATGAACAAAGTACTGAGATGAAGTCTGGCCATTCTCACTTGTAAGGAGCATTCCAGCTGTACGTCTTCCAAGTCAGATTTGTTTGTTCTGGCAGTCCATGGTATTTTTAGCATTCTTCACCAACACCACAGTTCAAATTCATTCTTTCATCTATGGTCTCTTCCTTATTCATGACCCAGCTTTCACATGCATATGAGGCAATTGAAAATACCATGGCTTGGGTCAGGCACACCTTAGTCTTCAAAGTGACATCTTTGCTCTTTAACACTTTGAAGAGGTCTTTTACAGCAGATTTCCCCAGTCTAATATGTCATCTGATTTCTTGACTGCTGCTTCCAAGGACATTGATTGTGGATCCAAGTAAAATGAAACTCTGTAACAATCTGTTGTTTGCATTTGTTGTTGTTATGTGCCCTTGAGTCAGACCCAACTTATAGAGACCCCTCCTTGGGTTTCCAAGGCAGTATCACTACGGAAGTAGATTGCCCAGCCTTCCCACCCAATCATTTGGTGGGTGTTACAAGACCATGGCTAGAAAGACCATGTAAAAGCCATCCACAGTGCCTCAAGTACATAGTTAAGATTAATAACTAAATGGCCAGTGGACAGTTGTTTGGGATCAGAGAAGATTTCATTGTGATTTCCGTGTGAGATGCATTCCAGGTTCAGACCCATTGTGAACATTTGGGGCCAACGAGAACTGAGATCATCCAGCTCATTGGTTCTCCAACAAGAATTTCTATGGGACTCTGGGTCCTGCCCCATAGAGACCTGTTGTAGAAGTTGCCTGGGAGGTTACCATGAGACAGGCTTAGGAACTGAGACTCCAGCCCAACTTCTACACCTCAATAGACTAGGAAGTGCAGCTGAGAGGCGCAGTGATTTAACCAAGGCCACTATGCTGGCTCATGGCAGAGGAGTGCCCCAGGTTGACACAGGATGCTGGGTCCTGAGTGCTTTCCTCTTGGCTGGACCATTGCAACACCAGGCAAGTGGCAGAGAGGGGCTAAGAACCAGCCAAGCCACCCAAACCTACCCTGGGGCCTCCCTGCTTCTCCAGAGCCGGCCATGTGAGGAGAACCTTCACTGGTTCCTAGAGCCCTGTGAACTCCACTTCCTTCTCCTCAACTGGGATTCCCCTCCCGGCTGTAGCAGCTGGAGTGAAAGCAGCCGCAGAGGGTCGTTTAAGGGACCAGGGGGCTGCCTGGAGGAAGCCCCAGGAGGGCCTCCTGGGGGGTAGGTTCCCAGGCCAGGTGCAGGAGGAGGGGGAAGGCTGGGAAGATCCAGGACTCCGTGTTGAACCCCTGAGCTGCAGTCATCTGTGCCCCGCTCCAGAGGGCTAGGAAGCTTCAGAAGGAACTGGGCTGGATATACGGGCCAGGTGCCCACGGGGGGAGGGGGTGTCACCCCAAAGGGGAGCCGAGGGCAGGCCAGGGTCATAAACTGAGGTGAAGGAGAACCTGGGCAAAGACTTCCGGTGTGGTTACTTCCGGGTGCCTTGCGGCCCTAGGAAAGCCCAGGCTGGGTGATTGGTCGTGGGGCCTACTAAACCGCTCTCATGCCTCCTCAGGAGACGAATGGATGGTTCGGAAGGTGAAGGTGGAGGACGAGGATGTCGAATGGCCTCAGCATCTGCCCTTCCTCCCTAGCTCTCTCCCAGCACCTGACCTGGGACCCTCGTATAAGCTAGAGCCAGGGGCGCAGAGGGGGCTCGCGCTGTCCGGGGGGGGCCCGACCCCAGAGAAGCCCTTCGGCTGCGGCGAGTGCGAGCGGCGCTTCCAGGATCGGTTGACCCTGAGGCTGCACCAGCGGCTGCACCGAGGCGAGGGCCCGCGCGCCTGCCCCGACTGCGGCCGCAGCTTCGCGCAGCGCGCGCACCTGCTGCTGCACCAGCGTAGCCACCGCGGCGAGCGGCCCTTCCCGTGCTCCGAATGCGACAAGCGCTTCAGTAAGAAGGCACACCTGACCCGCCACCTCCGCACGCACACGGGTGAGCGGCCCTACCCGTGCGCCGAGTGCGGCAAGCGCTTCAGCCAGAAGATCCATCTGGGCTCGCACCAGAAGACGCACACGGGCGAGCGGCCCTTCCCTTGCGCCGAGTGCGGCAAGCGCTTCCGCAAGAAGACGCACCTGATCCGCCACCAGCGCATCCACACGGGCGAGAGGCCCTACCCATGCGCGCGCTGCGCCCGCAGCTTCACGCACCGGCAGCACCTGGCGCGACACCAGCGGGTGCACGAGGCTCCGAGCCTGGCGGTGTCCCAGCGCCTCGCGGGCTCCGACTGCGCCCTGAGCCTTAGCTGCCAGAGCCTCGTCGCGCGCCCGTGTCTGCACCGCGGCGAGTGCACCCCCGCGGACCCCGCCGCCTACGCCGCGCCCCTGGCCTGCGAGCGGCCCTTCTCTTGCCCAGACTGCGGCCGCGGCTTCGCCCACGGGCAGCACCTGGCGCGCCACCGGCGGGTGCACACGGGCGAGCAGCCCTTCGCCTGCGCGCAGTGCGGTCGCCATTTCGCCTCCCGGCCCAACCTGGCGGCGCACGCCAGAGCCCACAGCGGCGTCAAGCCCTTTGCCTGCGCCCAGTGCGACCGCCGCTTCAGCCGCAAGTCGCACCTGGGCCGCCACCAGGCTGTGCACACAGGCAGCCGACCCCACTCCTGCGCCATCTGTGCCCGCAGGTTCAGCTCCAAAACCAATCTGGTCCGCCACCAGGCCATCCATACGGGCGCCCGCCCTTTCTCCTGCGCGCAGTGCGTCAAGAGCTTCAGCCGCAAGACACACCTGGTGCGGCACCAGCGCGTCCACTCCGGGGAGTCCACCCATTCGGCCTCCGACGCAGCACTGGCCTGGCCCTCTGCCAGCGAGGGGCCGCCACCTCCGCCCTTCTTCTGAGACTCCTTCTCTCCCAGAGCCCACCTTTGCACACAAGTGGCAAAACCGTGCCCTGAAACCTGTCTTGAAGAGGGTGGGGGTGCACCTGGATAGGACATGCGCTCTGACATTCTGTGACAAGGACAACATGAGAGTGAATACTGAGAACGGTGCTGGCCCAGGTCCATGAAAGACTCCCACCCAGAGACCCTTCAGGAAAGCAGGCGCGTTCCCGCTTGGGCCGTGGCTCACTGGTACTTCTTTCTCTGCATCCCCCCCTCAGGGGGCGGGAGAATGGCTATCAGTGTATTTACAGTTTATTAAAGCAAAGCCAAAGGTCTTGAGCGTTAGGTTGGTCAGGAAGGGAGCCCCTGTCCCTTCCCCTGCCCCACTGACACCCCCACCAACACACACTCCACTGCCACCTACCTGGCAACTTGAGGACAACAAACCACATTTAATGGTGGAGGGAGAGCTGACGCTTCCCATGGACACACTCTGACAGATGGTGGGAAGTCAGCGACTGTGTCTCCCTGTGGGCAGGTGGGAGAGCTGGGGCTGGCTGTCGTGCAGTGAAGGGGGATGGGGACAGTGGACCGCATGTTGGATCTGTGCTTCTCCTCCCCTCAGGTGGGACATGAATGACTGAGCCTGTTTTCCGCTTGCTAAAACCAGAGGGCTGGCTTTGATGAGATGCGAGACCCTTCCCATCTCTAACATCACAATCACCAACAACCACCCTAGGCAATATTTCTGGGTGCCTGCTGTGTGACAGAGGCAGACCTGCAGGACCCACCCTCCTCACAGGACCCAAAGCAAGCACAGTGCCGTGAGGGCAGGCACAGAGGGCCTGGAGAAGTGGAGTGAGGGTGATCAGACATTCAGGAATGGTCAAAGGAGGCTCGTGGGTGAAGGAACGTGTAGCGCGACGGTGAGGAATGAGCCACCCCATGGAGGCCGAGATCAGAGTGGATTGGGTGTGCAGGCGGTCGATGACCCTGAGGCCAGTGTGGCTGGGTGAGGGCATGCAGGAGGCAGGAATGGCTGGGAATGGAGGAAAGTTGTTCACTAGGGAAGAAACAGGTTACCATTTAGGGCCAGAATCAACTGGACAGAAACAACTCAGGGTGCAGGATGCAGTTCTTTGACCAGGATGGCTTCTTGGGTCCTTGTCTCCAGGTCTTGCTCAGCTGCTGCCGCCAGGCCTTCACCCTCAGCCTGGGCCCTTGCCCTTGGCTTCAGCCCTCACTCTGGCGAGTGTTACAAAGGTCTTTAGCTCTACCTACAAGTGCCAGGAGGCTCCCTTCTCTGGCCAGAGACAAAGCTCTCTTACTCAAAGGCAAGCCTGCCTCCCTCAACTAGTGCCTGGAGGCACTTAACTCGGTCAGAAAGTCTCCTGCCCCAAGGGGCTCAGCTCTCTCACTCCGGGACCAAGAAGCCCACTGCACCATCTTGTGCCAATCTGCTTCTCACTTTCTCACACTGCTGCAGCCTAAGGTGTTCTAGCTCTCTTTTTCCTGGGTCTAGGAGATTTTTAGTAAAGGGATCCTGGGCCCAAAAGACATACTCCATACCTGATTCTTCTTTTCGATGATAGTTAGGTCCCTCTCCAACCCCTGAGATTGGCTCCTTTTAAGTCCAGTGGGATGGCAAAACTGACCAACCCCCCTACAAGAGTCCCATCCATCTTATTTGCATGAGGAAAACTGTCCAGTCCCCTCGATGAATCACAAGCACTCCATCTGCATAGTCCCACCCAATTATCTCATGGGAACTGCAAGAGCATGGCTAGAAGGGCCATACGTAGCAACCCAAGGCACCCTGAGTACACCTCCCCTACACCACCCAGGTACAGGTGTCTGCCAAGGACCAGATGTTTTACTTTGGAACCACACACTGGGGTGGTAAAATGCTCTGAAAGGTAAAGACAAATTTACTAAATAAAGGTAGTGCCCAACTTTCAGCAGGGTTGCATTTCGACAGTGCAGTCATAAGTCAATTCTGACATGTGTCAAGTGCCTGTTACTCAGTTTTCACTATTGCCTGCTGTGTGGCAATGTTGGACGGTCATAACGTTGAATACCTGCGAGGGAACATCTGAGAATGATGGTATCAGCACCACTGTATGTGTGTCTGTTACTGATGATGTACAAAACCAGACAGTCGTAAGTGCTGTTCATCGTCACTCCAGGCCGCCTGTGTCTCTGTGGAGAAGGAACGGGGCGGTTCAGTGATAGAATTCTCCCCTTACATACAAGAGACCAAGATCCAACTCCCAGCCAAGGCACTTCATCTGCACCCGCCACTCACCCGTCTGTCAGTGGAGGCTTGTGTGCTAAACAGGGTTCAGTGGAGCTTCCAGACTGACATGGACTGGGCAGGAAGGCCTGGCAAACTACTTCCAGGATTCAGCTAAGGAAAGTGCTGTGTGTCACAATGCTTCAATTTGCACCCGATTGTGGGTGCATTTTGTCCTGTTGAGCCTGTGGTTACCATGAGTCGAGCAGCTAACATCAACATACAGAAAGTAACATCAACATACAGAAAGAAGATATTTTGTTAATTAAAATTTATCTCTTTTTCTCCTGTCTTTTTCCAAAAGAGATTTACTAGGCTAACAGGCAGTGAGCACCCAGTCAAGTCCAGTCCTACAACGGAAGGGGTGAAGTGGACAAGCCTCTGCTCACCCCAAACAGAATGTTCACCGCTGGAGGCGAGATGCTGATCTCCAGGAAATAGCATTAGTGGCAGGCAAGTGGGGTTCTGTGTAGGCTTGAAAGACCAAAGAAGCTTGGAAAAGGGAGATTCGAAGGACCAGAGCAAGCTTAACGGAGGAGGTGGGGCTGAGTGTGGAGCTCTACACAGACAGGGCTTGGGTTCCCATCACTCCTCCCCGCAAACATTTCTTCTCTCTCATCTGACCTTCTGCTTTATGTGGGGCACACTGGGGCCACTGAGGGGCAGCTGTCCTGGGACCCTGTGGCTTCCAACAGATGAGAAATCTCTGCTGCAGCCCACACATCCAACGTGTGTCATTGGGGGGGGGGGCAAATTCGCTTGTCATCAGCATGCAGGGGCCAGCTTCCTCAGTCATGGGAGTGGGCTTTATCTGCGTGTTGGCACCTGCCATGGACCCACCAAAGGCCTGAATCCACTCAGTGTCAGCCTGGTCTCTCTTCTCATCCCCTGACCCTTAGTCTCCCAGGGTCCTTGTTCTCAAAGGGTGAGCTGGGGGATTGTGGTTCCATTGCTATCGTTTTCCAGAATTTCCCACCACCATAGACTCAGGTGTTCTTGTGATCCCGGGCTCCCAGCTTCTACCTCTGCCACTGCCCCATCCTGGTCTTCTAGCATCCAGCTGGCTAAGTGCCTGGAGACCCTACGTGGAGCCTGCCCCCAACCCTGTGGGCCAGCGGAGGTCATGAAGACTCCTGCCGTCCTGCCCTGGCCGGAGCTGGGAGCCCAGGAATCAAAGCCGAGCAGAAGCTAAGAGAAACACTCTGCTCCCAGCCTGTCCCCATGTTTTGGCCGCAAGGCGGGGAACCCTAATGAACAGGAAGAAGCTGCTGCTGCCTTTTTGCTAGGAGATGGATGGCAGTTGGGTCTGGGGTGGGCTTTGTACTGGAAGACATCCCAGCACTACCAACACTTGGGCAGCTAAATTACAGACAGGGGTTTGGTGGGGATGAAACTGTGGGGTGTGTTGGCATCGATACCTAATCCTGGCTTTGGAGACTTGCCTGTCACATGACTGGCAGCAGGCAGAAACCTCCCGGGGGCCAGGAAGGCGACCTGATGCCAGAGTGCACTGCCTGCTCCCCTGCCCCCCTCTGTCGGGAGGGCCCCACAGTGCACCAGTGTGTCCTCACGACACTGGCGCAGCTTTGAGACCCGCGTGGTCAAGTGTGGCGGGAGTTCAGCGGAAGGCAGGCCGTGCTGTGAAGCGTGTATACTGCAGAGCCAGGCTGGCTGGCTGGTGGGAGACAAAGCAGTGCCCGGTGGGGGAGACCGTAAGTGGGGAGCCGCCTGAGGCAGGCTGCAGGAGTGGATGCCGGGAGGTGGGCAGGCTAGAGACTATTGGGCACGTGGGGCAGGATGGAGCTGTCCCGGGGTAAATACTCACTGGGATGTCAGTACTGAGGGGCAGGTGTGCCCAGGGGAGGCTGGGCTGTGTGGATGAAGCAGGATGCTTGGAGAAGCCATTTCAGGCACACCCCGGAACAGGTGGGGGGATCTAGGAAGGACCCGGCCCACCACCAGGTCCCGCATCTGAGAATCCCCTGCCTCTGCCCAAGGCGGAGGGGACGGCAGAAACAGACTGCAACTGAGGCCACAGGTGGAGGGGACGGGCGAAGCGGGGGGTCCCGGGGCCATAGAGGGGCCTGCTCGAGAACTGCACCCACACGCACAGCATCGTTCACAAAAACTAAGTTATAACGGGAACGTGCATGTTGTGCCTCTTTATTGTACATTTGTTAAATTTTGTCTTGTCATTTCTGTTTTCTTAGTTCTCTGACAGGAAAGTGCTGTAATATGGCAGTAAACAAAGATAAACACAGCAAACTTTTAGGAGTTTTACAGGCAGCCAAGACCAGGCCTTTCTCGGCAGATGAGGCCCGTTTGTTTCTGTGATGTGTGAGTGCACAAGTGTGCTGGGATTTATCTGTGAGGAGAGATAAGATGGAAGCCAGGGTGGCCTTGCCTGAGGGCAAGTGGGTCTGCAGGGAAGACCGGAGAGCCAGGATGAGGGCTGCAGGCTCTGTAGGGCTGGGGCAGCGTGGGTGGAAGGGAGGTTTGCTGCAGAGGGAGGTGTTGGTATCTGATGGTGCAAATTCTTTCTGCAGAATCTCTTGTAAAGTTGGGGTGAAGTCTCCACCCTTGTTCACAGTGAGGGGAGCTGCTGCCAGGGGATGTGATCCCAGGGATCTGAGGGGACCTCCCCACAAGGGGGAGGCCCCTCCTCGCCAACCCAGAGAAAACACTTTCATTTGTCAGGAGAGGGAAAAGCCCTCTGAGGGCACAGCCTATGAGTTAGACTATGGTGTAAATGGTTGCCATTCTGTCCTATCCGGGAAGTTGTTGTTTGGGAGAAGGCTGGTGATGTCACTTTGTGGAGAACCAACAATGTGGGGGGCAGGAGGGTGATGTCCCAGAGACACACAGAGGGTTTGACTGAAGGTTTTTGGGAAACCAGTTTTCCTAATCAGCCCTTTGAAATCTTCAGGCTCCTCATGAGGGGAAGCTCAGGACTTAGACAGATGCACTGTACTTACATAAGGCCGTTACACAACACGATTGGGGCAGAGCAAACTGGAGTCTATTTCAGGCCCGTGGAGCTAGGCTGTTGGCTCCCACCAGCCAGCAACACAGGATCAGTACTCACAGGGCCTGTCTCCGTGGGATTTTTCGGTTGCACTTGAGGGCTCAGGAGACCCCAAGGCCCACCCCATGGCCCTTGTCTCCTTCCCAAAAGGGCTGCATTTTCTGGAGGATGAGGTGAGACCCCTTCTCTCCAGGGCCCTGCACCCACCCTGCGTGATCCTGGCACTGCCCTCCATGTCTGGTGTGGTCTCCAGCCCACTCCCTTCTCACACCTCAGTGCCTGCTGCCAGCCTGGCCTCTCCTCAGCTCGTCCCCAGCTAGGACCCCACTTGTCTGTGCACCCGGATGCTCAGCGTCGCTGGGCTAACACTATCAAACGGCATCAGCAGGGTGCGTGTCTCCTCCGTCTGCCACAGGCCCCCTCGTGCTTCTCAGGCCCCTGGTCACGTCCTTGTCGCCGTAAACCAGCCCTCTCTGCAGATGATCCAGCAAGCCCCTTTATTTCCCAAGCCTCTGTTATGACAGGGATCTTGTTCCCCGCACCACCCTTGTCACCTCTCCTTCAAGTGTGTAGACCAGCCACCTCCTTCCTGGGGCTCTCTTGCCACCCAGCCCATAGGGTCACCTCTCTGGGCCCTGCTGAGGGCCACTCCTTTGGAGCCTCCAGCCCCTTCCCAAGCTGAGAGCACGCCCATACCTTTTACAAATATTTGCTTGCCTGACCATCCTGGCTGGAATGGCCACTGCAATGCAGAATCATAGTAAGTGAGCCTTCTTGTCCTGTTCCTGGTCTGAGGAAACACTGACATGTCACCCTTAAGCATTATGTTTGCTACACATTCTGTTGGGGGTAATCTTTACCCAATTAAGGAATTTTCTTTTTCACCCCAGTTTAGTGTGTCTGTGGCTGTTGCCTCTTTGTGTATCTATTGGGACAGTTACAGGGCCTTTTCCTGTAATTACTGAAGGAGTTTCCACTGGAGATTTTCAAATGTTAAGCCATCTTTGCCCTCTCAGATAAACCCGTATTGGCCATGACATCTGATTCTTTTTATGCATCCTTTGGCTGAGTCATTCGGTACTTTACTCCCAAGCACACTTCTCAAAATAAGCCTGTGCTTTTCTTGTTCTCTCTCAAGTTTGTGTGTCAAGGTTATGCTACTTACCTACCTATTGTCAAGCTGATTTGGACCCGTAGCTTGTCTTATAAAATGAGCCATAGCACGTCCTGCTTTCCTGTTCTCTGAGATAGCTCCAACGTTGGAGTAGTTTCCTCATTAAATGTGAGGTGGTAAAACCTCTGGGCCTGTGGTTTTCTTTGTAGGAAAACGTTTGGTCACTGATGCAACGTTTCCTATTTCGTCTTCAGTCTATGAAGTTGAATGCTTGTAGGAATTTTCTATTTTACTTGAGCTCTTTACCACCTTGTTAATTTTGGTTTTCTGTAGGATCTGTACTGATGTCACCTCTTCAATCCCTGATTTTTTTTTTTTTTTAACTGAATCCCAGCATAGGCCAGTAAACTTTATTGTTCTGTTAGCCTTTCTGGTTGGTTGATATTACCTGTAATATTCTGTGTGTCTACTCTTTACATGCTCGTCACTTCCTTCATGTTTTATTGCAACTCTTTTGACTTCTCGGCCTGCTTCCACATCATTTCCAAAAACCAAACCAAACTCACTACCGTTGAGTCAGACCCGACTGATAGCGACTCCTCCTTGGGTTTCCAAGGCAGTATCAGTAAGCAAGGAGATTGCCCAGTCTTCCTTCCAAGGAGTGGCTGATGGGTTTGAAGCACCAGCCTCCTGGTCAGCAGTCAGATACCTTAGGCACCACACCACCACAACTCCACCTCACTTATGCCTCTCCATTTCTAAGTACTGACTTAAGTTTTATTCTGTAAGTTTTGATGTGATGCTTAGTCCAACTTCTAATTTCCATGATTCTTTATCCTGACACAAGTTATTCAGTAGCATTATTTTTAATGTCAGAATTTTTTTTCTAGTTTACAAGCTAAAAGTATGATCAGTGAACAGACCGTACAATACTGTGAAATGTTTCAACTTGTTTTGTGGTTCCACACATGGCCTCTTTTTGAAGACGCGTGTTTGCTTCAGAAGAATGTTATTCTGTAGTTCCTGTATGCTCACCAGGCAGGCCAGCTTTGCCAAGTGGTATATTCACAACTTCTCTATCTCCTTCTGTTAGTTTGTTCTAAGCAAGCATGACATCTCCCCAGGCCAGCTTTGCCAAGTGGTATATTCACAACTTCTCTATCTCCTTCTGTTAGTTTGTTCTAAGCAAGCATGACATCTCCCCAAGATGACTGCAAATTTGGAGGAGAGCTCAGAGTGATTTTAAAAAACATTCAAACAAAAGGTGGTGAGAGAAACCTCAGAACACATGGCACTGATACAAAATACACAAGGTGGGTCTATGGAAAACCAAAAACAGTAATTACCTGCCATGGGACTGGATTAAGGCTCCAAGAACAAAACTCGCCAAGCTGCATCAGAAAAGCCAGTGGCCATTTCTAGTGGCCAGTTTCTGAACTCAAAGCCACAAAAGGTCCAAAGTCTGACCTTCCCTGCGCCAGCTCCCCCACGGGGGACCATGGTTTCCTGGGGCTGCCCCTCTCTGCTGGTCTCCCTCCCACTAGGCCCTGAAGGGTGGCCTGGGTGACAGGTGTCTGGATGTGTTGGCGTAGACATCGCTTTTTGCTTTTGTGGTGGCCCCCGCTGGTTGAGAGACAGCAGGGGTCTCCAAGGGCTCACTCAAACACAAGGGGAGGGAGGCCTCCCCTGCAACTTCAAATTCAAAAAACGCTTCAGTTTCTTCTCTCAAAGTAACCAGTTTCTTCCTCCAAATAGCCAGCAGAATGGGTGAAAGAAACAGAGACATTGTGAGTTGCACAAAGGGTTCCCCGCTGATTCCACAGGGCTTTTTGTTAATAGTCACAGGCTCTGTGTGGTGTGCTGCTTGGGATCCAGCATCAGTCCTGGAGCAAGGAACAGCTGTGTGACCTTGAACAAGCCACCTGTGGCCCTGCAGAGGGTTCATGAAACCTACCAAAACAAAGTCCTTCCAATCGCTGTACTAAGGTACACAGTGGGCCCATCCTCAGCTACGCTGGGGAGGGTGGGAGGCAAGATGGTAACAGCCAGCAGGCAGGAAGAACTCCACTTGCCATGGGGTCTGTCCCCACATTCCTCCCACAGGCTGGCCAGGCCATCAGCTCCGAGGGCCCGTCTGCTTCCTCATCCTCACCTAGGCTTCGTGGAGTCTTCAGAGAGAACTTGCCTGCTTCATTCCAAGCAGCACCCCACCATACTCTACTGAACATCAGTCTCAAGTTGTCTTGGGGTCATTCTCACCCTCAAAGCACTTTCCTGTCCATTTTAGGGGCAGCCTGACCACTCCAAGCCACTTTCCTGGATTGTAGGCCCACAACCTGCTCCTCCCTCAAGTGTCCCAAGACGAAGGTGTTTCATGGAGCCCCCAGGCCAGGTGCCAGCCTCTCAGGCCATTTGCTGTGGGACGCTTGGCCCAGCAGTCCCAGGTTTGCAGTCATCTTTGGGGGTCAGGCTCCAGCTTCCTGAGCCCCACCACTGACAGCCATCCTTTGCTCCCTACAGGTTTGCACAAACCCACGAAGAGCAACCCTTGGGCTCCCCCTTGGAAGGGACTGGGGAACTCAAGGTGAGAAGGGGCAGAGCATGGGCGGCATCACACTGGTGGTGGTGAGCTGTGTTACCTCCTGCCTGTGGACCACCTTCTCAGTTGAGCACAAGAGGCTGGCTCAGCCCCTCGTGTGGCACCCCGTTCCCCAGTAACATGGGACCTGCTTTCCCAGGCTTGGGGGAGGTCCCTCTCTGTACCATGCTGTTCAGCGTCCATCATCACTTTCTACAGGGACCATGGGCTTTCTGATTCTAGAATCCACAAGGGCCAGTCCAGCGTAGACTGAGGGGCAGCGTTCTCCCACAGGGACCACCTGACTCTGCCGGCACTGCCTCCAGAGGAAAAGAGCCAAGCCACATCCTGAGGATCGGACGACGGGCCGAAAGACAGGGTCACGTGGTCACAGCTGCACAGAGCCATGCATGGATGTAGGTGTGCACACACACAACACACCCCTCACCTATACACATGCAAATATAGACTGCACACTTCACATGCACACAAGTATGCACTGCACACACGTCCATACGCACACTCACATACACACGTATGGACTGCACACATACTACACACATGCAAGTATGCACTGCACACACTACACAGCACACACACCCCTCCTACATACATGCACCACACACCTCCCTATGCACACATACACTATGCAGCATACACCCCCCCCCCCACATCCACACATCTCCCCACAAACACACAGACCCAACACAGCACACACATGCACTCACAGCCTCTCTCACACACACCGTTGGCCTGAGCAGGGCCAGCAGAAGGACAGAGGAATCTGCAACACTTCATGGAACCTGAGCCAAGAGACAGAGGAGTGGCTGAGGGACACCCCACAATGTCCTCCCTGAGCCAACTCTGTCCGAGGCCCCAGTCAGGGCACAGGGCTTCAGAAAGGTGATGAGAAGGGCTCCATGGGTGCTGGGATGGAGGTGTGGGGTGGCGCCCTTGGTGGTGGCATCCTCCGCAGGACTGGGGCAGAGCTCAGGGACCCCCACCTCGAGTCTCCATGCCCATCTCCCCAGGCTCCCTTGGGTTTGGTCTCCTGGGTTCCCCCTGTGTCCACACGCTGAGTTAGGATGGAGGCTGGTGTAGTTACTGCAGGTGAGGGGCCTGCCTCTGCAGCCACCTCAGGGACGAGGGCAGTCTGGGGGGACACAATGGCAGGCACTGGAGAGAGGTGGGTTCTGGCCGCACAGCCACAGGTAGGTCCTGAAGGTGCAGCTGAGGCTGGCGAGGTGTCTGCAGGTGGCCGCTGGCCCCTGGGGGGCCCTGTGGAGCTGCCCTCCCCTGGGCCCCGCAGGAGCTTGGGTCTGGGCCTGGTGGGGCCTGGGGGCTTCCAGTATGGTGGGCACTTGTAACCACTGGGCCTCGGCCAGGAGCCCCCGCCCTTCAGCCTGTGGCCTGACGAATGCCGCCTTAGCCGATTCACCTGGTCCTTCATGGAGGCTACATCCTGTGATAGGCTGGCCAGAGTGGTGGCGAGCCAGTCCAGCTTCCCCGAGAGGGTGGCACCAAGGCTGCACAGCTCCCGCTGGAGGTCCCTACAGGGACACGGTGGCCGGGTGGGGATGGCAGCGACCAGGGCTGGTGACTCGGGCGAGGCCAGGGATACAGAGCTGGCTGGAGCTAGAGGGCTGCCCAGAGCTGGTTGGTGGTGAAGACCGTTTCTTTCCCCAGAGATCTCCAGCAAGGTGTACCCAGCCACCGCCTCACCTGTGACAGGTAGGCTGCTGTGTCCAGGGCCCAGGCCCCTGTGCTTCCAGGCCCCAGGCCCCTGGGTGGGCCCGGCAGGCTGGCAGGGCCTGAGCTGTTCCTCGAGTTGTGGGGTAGTTCGCGGGGGCATGCCAGCCAGCCCTGCAGACAGCAGAGAGGTGTGGCTTCGGGTCTTGGACATGGACACGGAGCCACTCTGATGTGAGGATCTCATGACATGGCCTAAAAAGTGAAAATCACACTTTCAGATTTTTAAAACCTACAAGTGGGATGTGAGGTAGGTGCCTCTGCTGGTCCCGATAAGCAGTCCAGAGCTCCTCGGCCCCTGCTTTCCCACCGGAGCAAACCTTGCTTGGAGGGAGGAGAGGGGCGCCTGGGGGAGAAGTGGCCTCCAGCTTCCTGATGGAACCGTGCCAAGGCTAAGGCCTCTTAGCCCACCTCTGTGCACAGGCTGACCCAGGTGTTCTCTGGACGCTCCTCAGGGGGCTCTGAGAGGGCTCGCAGATGTGCGCCCCACAAGGACATTAAGGCAAGAAGGCCCAGAGGTCCGGCTGCAGAAATTAGTGCATGTGCCAAGTGGATCAGAGATCCAGGCACAGGTTCTAGCCCAGAGGGAGGCACATCCCCCAAGGGGACCCAGAGCTCCCTGCATGGACATCTCTACACCTGAACTTCCTCTCAGATCTCTGGTCTCCAGGCTCTGTCCTTGCGGCTGGTGGTGGGGGCGTACCAGGGTGCACTCAGCCTGGAGACTCAGGGTCCTGTATCTCGTACCCCTCCTGCCTACCTCCATGAACTCACCCTGGAGACACAGGGCTCCTGTACCCCTCCTCCCCCCTCCATCAACTCACCCTGGAGACACCGGGGTCCTGTGTCCATACCTCTCCTCTCACCCCCACGAATTCACCCTGGAGACATGGGGCTCCTGCATCCCTGCTGCCCACCTCTGTAAGCTCACCCTGCAGACACGGGGGTCCTGCGTCCTGCACCCCTCCTTCTCACCCCCATGAACTCACCCTGGAGACGCAGGGGTCCCGGCTCAGGCTCCAGCCTCTGGTCCTCCTCTGTGCTGCTGGGACTCGGGTTGGGGCTAGGGCTGGCCAGGCAGCTGAAGCGCAGGGGCTCCATGGGAAGCATCCCCTCCAGAGAGTTCTCCAGGTGATGCAGTGGGGAGGGCTTGGCGGCTGGAAAATGAGAACCCAGAGCCTCTGCTGTCTCACAGCCAGGATGGGGCTCTGAGCGTGCTCCACAACACTGACAACACTGCTCTGGCTGTGGACAGACGTGGCCTAGTCCCTCTGGGAGTCACAGGTGAACGGCCTGAGAGTCCGAGGCCCCGAGGCCACAGGTGGTCAGGTGCCAGCTGCTGCTCCTCCAGTGGCCCCCCCGCAGTTGCTGTGTGCTCTGGAGGCTGTCTAGCTTGGGGGATTGTTATGTACCGTGTTGTCTGAAAGCTCTGCTGGCACGTGAGATGGGGGCCTGCCCAGCTACAGCACGAAAAGAAAATGGCCATCCCCCTCAAGGGCCCTGTAGACAGCAGGGATGGTGTCCTTTTCCCCCTGACGGCATGTTTACATCAGTATGTCTTCTGCCTTCAGAGGAGCTCTGGCTGGCAACCTTGACAAGAGACTGTGAGGTAGAGGAACAGAGGAGAGCCTGTGTCCTCTTCCACGGCTCAACCGGAGGACAAATGCCACTAAGCTTGCAGCCACCACCTGGCTGGGACCCTGCTATCTGGGCCTTGATCGTACCAGTGGTAAGAGCAGGGCAAGAGCCTTGGGGGCCCTGCTCCGCCTGCTGCCTGAGGTGGGCTGGACTCCCAGAGCCTTGTGGTAGCAGAGATAGGAGTGTGTCCTGGAGTACTAGCTTCCAGCAGGGGACAGCGGCTTGCCAGAAGCATGTCAGGCTTTTCCAGAGCCTGTGCAGAGCTTCCTAACAGACCCTGGGGTTTCCTGGGGGTCCACAGGGATGCAGCTGGCTCGGTGCACTGCGCAGCAGCCTGGAAGGCTGGGAGCTCTGCCTGACTTTACCCATCCAGCACTGGGCACAGGCCCTGGGCTCTAGGGACACCCAGCCCTCTCTGGCTTCCGGCCTCAGTGGCTGGACTATCCCCATCCCATCTGCTCACCCCAGGATGTGGGCCTCAATCAGTAGCTTACCTTCTTTGAGCGGTATCCAGGTCCCAGGATCTGAGCTGGAGGGCTGGAGCCAGGCAGGCTGTGGCTTGGGCTGGGGGCTCGCTCTGAGGTGTCTTTCCAGGCCTTGGGGCAGGGACCTTCCCGCTGGACTTCCTGGGGAGGTCAAGCTCGCTCAGTCTCAGTGCCAGAACTTGCAGCCCCGACGGCTATGACATGGTGCCCTGTCCCGGGGAGCCCTGCTCTGCTGGCCTGGCCACACTGCCCCAGGCTTGTCTACACTCTCTCTGCATTCCGCCACACCAGTGAGCACACAAGAGCCACATGGAGCCACCTCCTCTGAGAGTGACCCCCAGGCCCTCCCCAGGAAGGCCTGAGGGGTGTGAGCACAGCCTCCCTCACCACTTCCACCATTAAGGACTGTCACCACAAACGGCCTCCATGTGCCGGTGGGTTGCAGCAGGCCATGCAGCTGGCACTGAGGTGGCAACAAGGACTCAAACACACGAATCACCAAGACTGTACTTCTACCAGGCGGCAGCAGTGGGCAAGGCAGGGACCAGAGGGACAGCATGTCAGACGGAAGAACCCTCCTGGTGGGTGATGTCCTGTTTCCTTTCCTAAAGGTGTTGGCTGGTTTGGGGTCCACTTTGTGAAGCTCTATGGTCAAGTGGGAACTGGAGGTGTTCCCAAGGGTAACTGCCAACTTCTAGGGCACAGAGGGAGCTGGGAGCTCGGCCAAGAGCTTCCAAATGCCAGACGTCTCCCATAGCCTGTGTTCCCTAAAGAGCAAAGTTCACCCACAGAGGATACGTGCAAAAGGGTCCTCTACCCCTACAACAAGTGGTGCTCAGCTGTTACTAGCGGGTCATTAAGACGAAACCCTGAGTCTCCCGGAGACTGGGCCATTACACATGAGGCTGAGAGGGCTGTGCAGGTACTACCCTGTGTGAGGGGTTGTCCCTGGATGGGAGTGTGACAGGAAGGCCAGGCAGGGTGTGTGTGTGTGTGTGTGTGTGTGTGTGCGCGCGCGCGCGCACTAATTTTCCCCATAGAGCCTTTTGTAGTTTTTATTTAAAAAACAACCAAAAAGAAAACCTAACCCACTGTCATTGGGTCAATTCCAACCCTACAAGAACAGAATAAAATTGCCCCAAAGGATTTCCAAGGGTTTCTAAGGCTGTGACCTTTACGAAAGCAGACTACCTGTGGTGCAATGAACTGTTTGGTGTGGTGGTTAAGTTTGTGTGTCAACTTCGCTGGGTTGAGTGGTTGGGAAGTGGTAGTTATTCCCCAAGATGAGACTGGCAATCACCTCCATGATGGGACCTACCACAAGCAGCTGATTAACTGCTTTAGGGATGTGGTCTGCTTCCCCTATGTAAAAAACAGCTTTGGGAATGGTCTCTAGCTTATGGCACACTTGAACCCTGCGTGCAGCTGTGTCGTTGTTCAGCAGCCTGCCATGCTCTGCCGACCTTGGGACCGTCAATGGATTTGAATTAACGGCCTGCCGTGTGGTTTGCTAACATTGGGGCTGTGCCATTTTATTTGCTGACCTTAGGTTCATCAGCCTCAGCAGCCAGCAGCTGTCTGAGTGAAGAAAAGCCTCCAGCTTCAGTGGGTTGGGAGCAAGAGGCAGAGCTGAAGCCCAAGGTTGAGGGGCTTTCACCTAGTCCCTAGATACTGGCAATTGGAACTTGGACTTCTAGCTTCCCAAACTTTTAAGAATAAACTCCTGTTTGCTCAATCCATTGCATTTGTGGTATACATTCCTGCCAGAGCAGTACTGGTAACCAGAACACTTGGTACGGCTTTTCTAGCCATAGTCTTTGTAACTCCCGTTGCATTACCGGGTGGGAACATGCAAATAAGGTGTGTAGAACTCTGATGCTGGGACTGGTTAGTTTTGTCACTCTGCCAGGCTTAACATGAGCCCTCTCAGAGACAAAGAGATGATCTCACTGCCATCGATAGAGAAGAGCTGGAGGTGAAGTGGAGCTCGTGTGTCTTTGGACCTGAGATCCCTGTGCTGGACTTTCTTGGTAGAGATACCCCAGCACACATGGCAGCAGTGGAACCAAGAGGCAGGAGAGAGAATGGCGGGCTTACCTGGCCCACAGAGCGAGAAAGTTGAGTGTCCTTGGTCAGGAGGCTTGCTGGTAGAGTGGGGTACACCTAGGTGTACCTATCAGCAGAGCTAAAAGAGCTTTGTAACACTTGCCCGAGCAGGGCTGAAAGGCCAAGGGCCAGATAGGCATGTCTGAGGGCACGGCAGAGGGAAGACTGTCCTGATCAAAGAACTGTATCCCGAGCATGTTCCTAAAACTGAATTATAGCCTGTTACTTCCCTAATAAACCCTCAAATCATGACTTTTGTCTGTGAGTTCTGTGTGGCCACTGCAACGAATTATTGAACTCAGCAGAGAAGCAGTGAGTGCCATGGGAGAGAAGGTTGGTGTCAGAATTGGTAACAAGGCTGGAGGGTGTTGGCATGATGGCCTCATAGGCATAAGTGTTAGGCTGCTGATGGTGGTTCCGTCTTCCTCTTGTGTAGTTAGAGGAGGTCAGAAGCTGTTGCCAAGTCCTTTTTGCACTGCCACATCTTTCTCTTGTGGAATGGCTGGTGGGTTAGAACTGCTAATCTTTTGGTTAGAAGCTGAGCGCTTAACCACTGCACCACCAGGGCTCCTCCATGTGATTGTTACTTATCAAAGTAAAAGTCACCTGCATTTTGGAGAAAGTCCTACACCCATGGGGCTCAATACCAGTGTGGCACAGGGCCTGGTCACCTGGGGTACAGGGCCTGGCTAAGTCTGGGTACAGTCCAGAACTCCCACTGACCAAGCAAGTTAGGGGTCTGCAAGCCAGGCTAGGCCCAGGGGACCTGGATAATTCAGACAGGAGACAAAAGGCAGCCAGGAAGGGCCATGACAGTCCCACCTGAGTCCAGAGAATTCTGCCGTGGACTGTGATGAACACCAACACTCTGAGGGCAGACTCGTCACTGACAGGTCCTCTGGGGGCAGACGTGAGGTTACCAACAAACACTCTGAGGGCAGACTCAAGGTCAGTGACAGCCTCTCTGAAGGCAGAGTTGAGGTCACCGACAGACTGAGGGCAGATCTGAGGTCACTGATAGAATCCGAGGGCAAACAGACATGAAGTCACCAATAGTCTTGGCAGATGTGAGGTCACTGACAGAACTCGAGGGCAAACCTGAGGTCATCTAGAGACTGAAGGCAGATCTGAGGTCATCAACAGAACCTGAGAGTACACGTGAAGTCACCGACAGACCCTCTGAAGGCAGCTGTGAAATCACCAACAGGCTGAGGAAGACATGAGGTCACCGATAGCCTCTCTGAGGGAAAAACTGAGTCACCTACAGGTCCTCTGGGGGCAGATGTGAGGTCACTGACAGAACCTACAGGCACACTAAGGTCACATACAGGCCCTCTGAGGGCAGACATGAGGTCACTAACAAACTCTGAAGGCTTAATGGAGGCCACTGACAGATCCCAAGGGCAGACGTGAGGTCACCAACAGAATCTGAGTGCAGACTCGACGTCATCACCAGCCTCTCTGAGGGTAGACTTTAGGTCACCGGCAGACTGAGGGCAGGTGTAAGGTCACTGACAGCCTCTCTGAGGAAAGAATCAAGGTCACCTACAGGCCTCCTGAGGGCCGACATGAAGTCACTGACAGAACTCAAGGGCAGACAAGCCCCCTGAGGGCAGACACAAGGTCCTCAGTCTCCTCTCCAAGATGCTTTCACAGATCGTCACATTTTTCTGAAGCTAGAGAGCAGTTCGGCACTCACCTCTGTGGTTGGGACACGGGATGGAGATCCCATCTCATCCCTCCAAGTGATATTAGACAGTGTCCGCCTCCCCGACTCCCTGTCCCCCTAACATTCCTGCCTCTGCCCCCTCGCTCTGCTTCCAGGTCTGGGCACTGACCAGGCGGGCAGGGAGGAGTGAGGGCCGGCTTCTCCCACACTGAAGCCACCACAGCCAATCCAGCTCACCTCTCCTGGGGCAGTGCCTCTGGCTTCCCTCAGGACTCCTCAAATCCAGGCGCCCATCAGAGCTGCTGGGTGAGGAGGAACTGGCAGAGCTCCCACGGAGACCTGGGTGGTGGGCAGGGTGGTCTCTTACAGGGCCCTGCAGGCCCAGAGGAAGAAGAGGCCTCAAGATCACTTCTGTGGGAAGACAGCAGAGTTAGGGTCATGGAAAACCCCACGGCTGGCAGGGTCCAAGTACCACGCAGCAGAGTCCCCTTGGGTGCAGGACGTGGTGAAGGCCTGTGAAGCATCGACCTCATTGTGAACCCAGCTCATTTTGGAAGATCAGAGGGACCAGGGTGCTAATGGAGGAGGCACCAAGCTGAGGACTGTGTAGAGGGGCATGCCTGGGGCCCTGGGCAGGGTGCCTGGGTCTCAGGGCACCTGGCAAGATGGGGGAGAGGGTGCCTTCAGTGCTCCGCACATCCCCGTTGCTCATGGGGACCAGAGTCACCTTGAACTCACAGCCTACCTGTGCTGTGTGACCCATGGGGCCTCAGCTCCAGTCTTGGAGAAACAGGTCCTTGCTGGGGGCTCCAGGACCAAGAGGTGGTAGGTGGCTGGGGTGGTGAGGGCCCACTCAGGGGAATGCCCTTCAGACAGGCCTCCAGGGCCTCCAGGGGAGAGCTTGAGGCCCTGCTGGCTGGGACAGGAGGGACCTGTCAGTGCTCTGGCTCATCCAGGCGGGCTGCCCTAACAGCCTTCTATGGGGCTCGCCACGCAGGACACCCACTTCTGAGGGGCTCTGCCCACACGTTTGAGGAGGCAGATGGAGATACCACATCTCAGTGCCTGGTTTTTGGGGGTGAATCTCTTTAGCCATCAGGGTGGCAGGGAAGGGACCTGGTGGGGGCCTGGGTTAGGGAGTGGCTCACTGTGAAGAAAAGGGACCAGGTTCTCCTGCTCTCCTGCAGGGGACAGAACCTGTCAGGGGCTGCGGGTCCCACCTGCAGACGGTCCATGAGACAAGTCAGTGTAAACTGACCCCAGTCTCATCTTGAACCACAGATTCCAAGAGAAATGGAGGCCAGAAGACTCTCAGACAGGACAAGAGGCTGGAGGCAGTTCCAGGGTGGCTGGGGCAGCCAGGACCAGGGCAGGGGGGAGGAGTCTGCAACAGTGTGGGCCCTGTGGGGAGCCCAGGGCCTCACCTGGTGGCTCTGATCAAGGTGTGGCAGTGTGACTGGTGTCCGTGTGTCCATCCTCAGCAGTCTAGACCACGATGGACACAGGACCCCAGTGGCCCTTACCTCCAGAATCCCGCTCCCGGGTCCCTGGCTCTTCCCGCTGTGGTGGCTGCCCTGTTCCTGAGAGGCTGGCGTGGCTGTTGCAGGCCTCCAAGGTTCTCTTCGGATGGCCTGGCCCACCCTGGAGCACGCAGGCCGCTGGAGCTGCCTCCACCTTCACTGAGGAAAAAGGGACAAACCATCACCTGGAACCCACTGCCCCAGGCCTCATGACAAATGCCAACAGCAGCTGTCTTGACGGGTGAGGTCCTTTAAGTCCCACGTGACTTGCTGTCTGCTTTACACCTAAGAACACCTGCCTATGCACCTACCAGACCTGCATGGGGAGACCCACCAGTCATGCCTTCTAGCTCACAGGGACCTCACTGGGCCCCACGTGTGTTGGCCCCAGGCCCCACTGCAGTTTTTAGTCATTCCTGTACTTCATAGCAACCGAGGAGGGGGAGACACGACCCCCGTCTGAAGCAGTCCCTCAGGTCTGCATAGCTGGTCAGTGAGCAGCCCGGGGGCCAGGCCTCCCTCCTGCACCACGTCACCCAGCATCAACAGTACATGACTCGCCAAGCCCACTGCTTTCTCCCCAGCGCCCCTAAGCTGGGAAGAGCAAACAGGAACCAGGACCAGGTCGAGAAGCACCCTGCTCTGGTTTTGGAAGTTCTTTTTCTATTGGACCATGTTTTACTTTCCTTAAGAAAGCCATGAAGCTTCAGAGAGAGGACACGGATGCCTGCAACGCCAGCATATTGATGCCTGTCCTTCAGAGACAACGTGGAGCAGAAGTCTGGGAAGAGGCAACAGAGAGGCTTCAGAGCCCAGACCTGAGAAGTCAGGCCGACTTACCTTCCGAGGGGGGCCTCCTGGGTGCTGGCTCCAGCTTCATGAGCCTCCAGCTGCTCAGTGGGGGGTGGGGACACAGTCTGCTTGGGGGTTCTTCAGGGTGCTGGGGAGCCGGTACCAGGATTTCTCGCAGGCAGTCGATGAGACCCTGCAAAGGGCTGCTCCCAGGAGAGAGTCCTGCAGGGTACGGGGGATAATGAAGTCAGTGCAGTCTTGGGGGGACAGGGGACAGCCGGGTGACGCAGGGGGAGGGGGCAGCTCTGACTCAGGACATCCAAGCCCCAATGACACCAGTTAAGATCGCCTTTCAATGGGACTTTTCTCTCTCCAGAGGTGGCCAGGAATATCCTGGGAACAGCAGCAGAACCCTGGGTATGGGAACGTGCCTATGTCATGGCTTTCCCGCTTACAGCAGGAGTGGAGGTACAAAGCTGGACACACCCCACCGAGCCAGACCCATGCAACCTTTGATGTCTGCTTTGGAACTCTGGCGGCGGAGCACGGAAGCTGCAGTCCTTGGACCTGCACAATCCCCACAGGACCAGGCCCCTTAAGAAACTGAATTTCATTGACTTTGAGGCGTCTCGAAAGCTCAAGTGGGGACGTGTAGTCAGTGAGGCACCTTCTGCAATTAGCACTGTGAACAGACACGGCTTCCCCTTCGGGCACTGCTTCGGCTCCGTCCCCAGATGGCACACCCTTTCCATTCTGCTCCAAGCATTTCTGATGCCCTGTGGTTTCCTCTCTGACATGCAGTATTGTCCATGTTTCCATGAGTGGGTTTTTGTTCATCTGTGTGGGTTTTGCTTGGTTGTTGATCTACCCTAACTACACTACGACTAGAAACAGGCTCCTTCCGACACAGACCCTCTGAACTTCCTGGAGAACTCCCTGTGGTCACGTCCCACCATGGACTCAGCCCTGGGGCCTGGTGACAGCAGAGATGGGGCTCTGGGAGATGCAGCCCACGTCCTACGCTTCCCCCTTTTCTGAGTGGCTGTCTTGCCTGAGCTGTAGACCCACTGGGGGGTGGATTCAGGGTGTTCTCTCCCATGCCCCCCCAAAACTGTGTCTTACCTGACCCTAGGGCCCCTCTCTCCTGGTTCCAACGGCTCTTCGCCTTGTCAGGGCTGCAGGAGGGTACGCAGGGCTCACTGGCCCCTGGGACTTCCTTTGCTGTAGACTCCAGTCCACTGGCAGGTTCTGCTGTGGGAGGAGATGAGTGAACTTGAGAAGTCGACCCTCAAGTCTGGCCCCATAGACAGGCTTCTCCAGCTCCCAACATCCCCGACTGTGGGTGTTCATGTGGGGCCGTCCCCCAAGTGTGGCCCCACAGGACAGGCCTCTTTGGCTCCCAATGTCCCTGGCATGGGTGTGTGTGTAGGGGCTGACCCTCAAGCGTGGCCCCATAGACAGGCTTCTCCAGCTCCCAACATTCCCGACTCTGGGTGTGTGTGGGGGGCATCTCCCAAGTGTGGCCCCACAGGACAGGCCTCTTTGGCTCCCAATGTCCCTGATGTGGGTGGGTGTGTGTGGGGGAGGGTTGGTTCGTGAGTGTGGCCCCACAGGACAGGTCCTCGACTGTGGGACTGGTCCCTGAGGGCTCTTCTGCCTCCTTCTGGTCCAATGGCAGATATGGCCAGACTAGCCCTCCCAATCCCCTGGGCCTTTACTTCAGTCAGCTGGAGTCCTGCTGAGTGAATGGGGCTTGTGCAAAGGCTAATGGCATCAGAGGAAGCTTTAAAGACCTGTGTGCAGCAGACCAGCCGTACTGACAACGGAGAAAAGGGAAAATCCTGTTCCGGTCTCCACTTCCCCATCGAGAAAGTGTGGTCGGAAACTGGGAAGCTGAGCAACTCACCTGCTGGGCTTGTCCTTGCGCTGGCCTCATCACTCTCGGGGACCTCCCGGAACAGGAACTCTGGGATCCCCCTCACCAGCTGCACCAGGGCAGAGAGGGGCAGGCTGCGCCTCGGCAGTCCTCCTGCAGAACGGCAGGCTTGCCTTCGTACCCCACACCTGCCCAGGCCTCACTGAGGCCCAACAGGGACAAGGGAGCAGTGGGGAGACCAAGACCCACCAGAAGCTCAGCCAGGATCAGTAGGGGCGGTGCTGCCTCCCCTGGGTGGGGTCCATCCAGGGCCCCATGCCCACGACCACGTTCCCCACCCTGGGCCACGCAGCCCCACTGCCAGTCTCTGTGCAGGTAGCTTCTGGGGCCGAGAGTGAGCTGTGGGGCTGTGACAGGGAGGTGCCCTGAAGCCAGGGGTGCTTTCCAAGGCGACCCAGGATCCTCCAGCACTTCTCAGTGAGACAGATGGGACAGTAACAGGCTCCCAGCGGGGAGCGGGCCTCGATGAGGACCTGGATGGGCTAAGGGTGCAGCGGGGCAAGATGGAAGGCCGGGCCGAGCAGGGTCACAGCCCCAGTGTCACTGAGGCGCCAGAGCTGACCACCACATGGGACGGCAGGACATTCAGAGGGGCCATGACTGCCCATGTGACTTACCCCTGGGGCCTCCCTGGCCAGGAGGCACCTGCCCCTCATCAACATGGCTTCCACCTCCCATGGTTCCTTCAGGCTCCGTAGGCGACAGGAAAGCAGAAAGCGGGAGCAGCTCAGCTGTCCCTGGATGAGGAGTGACGGACGGGTCAGTCACCCAGGAGTGGGAGCTGGTCCTCATCTCCCACCCGCCTGAGCCATACAGGTGTCACAGTGTCCAAACGACAGGTGGAACACATGCCACATGTGGGTCAGTCACCCAGGAGTGGGAGCTGGTGCTCATCTCCCTCCCACCCGAGCCACACAAGTGTCATAGTGTTCAAATGACGTGTGGAACACATGTCACATGTGACACACACCACACACATCCTTCACACACAACATGCATGGTACATATCACACGTATGCATCATGTGCAGGGCACACATTACACAAGACAAACTACACGTGGCACATTATGCACAGTGCATGTTACCTGTAACACATACTGCTGTTAAATGTGTCACTCTGTGCATGCTGTGTACTCTATATGTGAGACACATTACTGGTGGCACACGTCACACATTGCATGCAGTGCACATAACATATAACATACACTGCATGTTGTACATGTCACATGGTGGCATGCACATACGCAACACACTACAGGTAGAACGTGTTACATGTGGCACACATATTACATGCAGTGCATGTGCTACATGCTGGTACATGTGTGATAACCTGGATGCAGACCAGTGTACCGTCAGACCCTGAGTCATCCTGTTCGAAGTTTCACAGGTCAACCCCAAGCGTGCCACACCCCCACCAAATCCACCCGTGACCCTCACAACCTAGAAGGTGGTGCAGCTGCCTGCATGGCCTTGGGGCCCTCTGAGCACTATCCACTGTGGGCAGACACACTAAGGTCTTGGAATGCAGTCTCCCTGCCACCTCCTGTGGCTCGGGCCACACCATGTGTGTGGGCTCTGAGGGGCGGGCCACCCTCCCCCGCAACCTGGCCCTCACCCAGCGAGGCCAGAGCTGCGTAGTTTTCCTGCATCACGTCTTGGTAGAACACCCTCTGCCCCTCCTCCAGGAGCCGCCACTCATCCTGGGAAAACCGCACAGCCACGTCCTTGAAGGTTATGCGCACCTGTAGGCACAGCTCAGGGTCTACCTGGGGACCTGCTGGGAGAGCCCAGGGTGGGAGGAGCAGGGAGAGGGCAGCAGGGGTCTGCAGGAGACACACCCTGTGCCCCCCAGCCTGGGACCCTAGCCAATCCTAGATTCACCAAGGCAGAGATTCATCAGCATTAACAAATCCCCTTTGAATTGCAAAGACCCAGGACCCTAGCACTGTGGATTTAAAAAGTTTACAAGTGACGCTGGTTAAGAAGACTGACCCCAAACAAAACAACCAAACATGCCTCCATGCTGTATAGTGAAGATGGCATCATGAGGAAGGTGTTCCTCCCATGTCCGCCTCTGGAGCCATGTCTGGGTCTTAGGCCTCAGACTAAAGCGAGACAGAAGCGAGCCATTAAACTCCTGCTTTTAAAGACGATCTTTACCAACTCAAATCTGTTGGAGGGCATCGCAGGGGATCTGCAATAAAGTGCACCATTCCAGATCCCTTTAACAAAAACCGAACATTCAACAGATTTTTAAATACAGCGAAGGGGAGTCCCGAGTACATAGAAATGCCCTTGCTGCCCCCTCTGAGCAGATGTCCCTGGGTGGAGATGGGGAGCAGGAACCCAGCAGGGCCAAGCTTCAGTCTTTGTGGAAAGCCAGTTTTAATGCAGTCAGCAGCAGGCAAACTTGAGATAAATGTTCTAGTCCTCAGCAGAGTAGCTGCTCAGGGCTGGTCCCTCCTCCTGCCTGAGAGCTACAAAGCGACAAGCTGCGTGCTTCCAGGAGATCCAAGCACAGCGTCTGTATGTTCAGACTTTCTGGTGACTCCAGCACACTCTAGGTTTCAGACTCAGGCAGGCATGCTGGAGGTCAGATCTACCTGGCGCCCCAACAGGGTAGGCTGTCCAACAGGAACCACTGCAGACTTGGGTGCTGCTCCCACCCAACAGGAAGCACCTAGAGAGCTTGCAGCTGATTGCCTTGGGTTCTAGATACCCTACCCCCAGGGACTGGTCCTTGGCCCAGGAGGTTCTTGGTGCTCAGAACAGAGACAGCTCAGGCTGAAGGCCTTGCTTCAGGCACAGGATGGCAGAATCCAGTCCCTGCTTTGCTTCGCACTAACTCTGAAACCCTGGTCGAGCTACTGGTCCACTGGGGCCTTGTCCGCCTACCTCTTAGGGGCGTGGTGAGGACTATGCTGGTAATGCCAGTACAGACAAGAGAACACACTGAGACCCTCAACAACTGTGGCTGGAACCAGATGTGTCCACAGATGCTCACTCGCAGGGCAGGTGCCTCACTGCACAGAATGGGCTCCCCCCGTACTCCCTGGTCTCCCTGGCCACCTGGATGACTATGCTGGGGCAATAGGCTAACAGCCGCCAGGGCTGGCACTCAGGCACTCCCCCTCTACCCAGAAATGTGGGAAGAGAGACAGCTAGGAGGGAGTGAAGGGAACCCCATTGGCTGGAGATCCAGCCCACACCCCTTGTGGTCCTTACATCCTCTTTGTGGCTCTGATACCCGCTTCCCAGGACCAATCGGGGCCGACCCAGGATCGTCCCAACCCCTAACACCCTGCTATCATGCTGACCCTCCCGAACATCCTCAGCATGAAAACTGTGTGCCAGGTCCTGGAGGACCCCCACCTTTCCAGGTCCCTCCCTATCAGACGCCCCCTCCTGTCCTCCGGATCCCTCAAGCTGCTCCGGGGTCCTCCTGCTGCTGCCAGGTTCCCTCTGTTATCCCCAAGGTCTCTCTGGTGCAGCGAGGCTCCCCTCCGCCGTCCCCCCTGCTGCCCGGGTCCCTGAGGACAAAAACCCGGTCACCCCCTAGCCGTTGCTCCTTGCCCTCGGCCCGGGAACTTGTGATAGGGTGGGACGAAGCCTTACTCCGGGAAGGGACCCTGAGGACCGGGAAGCTCGCTGTCCGCGAGTGTTGGGGGCTCGGACCGGGGTCTTCCGCGGGCCTGAGTCTCAGGGCCAGGAGCTATGATCGGCAGAGCCTGTCCGTCCGCCTGTCCAAGATCGCCGGCCCCGCCTTACCTGGCGAGCCATGCCTGCACTCGGCCTCCCGCCAACACCCCGGCGGGTGCAGCTTCCCGCGCGGCGGCCCGAGGCGCAGTCTCCCGCTCCCCGCCCCCCGCATCCCCGGGAGCAGTGGGCCCGCCCCGCCCCGCGCCCCCAGTGCCGCCAGTCCGGCGCGAGCGGGGAACTACAACTCCCAGAAGACACCGTGACGCCCGCACGACAGGGCGGGGGTGGCGGGCGGGGCCTGGGAGAAGAGGGGAGGGTTAGGGTTAGACAATGGTGGCAGAAAAGAAATGGGCCGGAGTCAGAGATGGGAGTCGGCTCAGGACGGGGAACATCTTTCAGTGGGCCCCACGAAACAATTCACCAACCCGAGGGTCCCGCGGCGCTGGCACGAGGGGACGAGCTGAGGGTGCAAGAGTACCACTCCCAGAGGGCCCCGCGCCGCCAGCGACGTAATTGGCGGAACTTGGGTCACGATGGGGCGGGAAGCTATAACTCCCAATGGGGCCCCGCGGCGCCAGCCACGGAGACTGGGCGGAGGCAGGGGCGGGACCAGCAAAGGAGGGGGTGGGACCAGGGTGGGATCGACCCAGAGAAGAGGAAACTACAACTCCCAGAAGACTCTGCCGCGCCAGCCCACAGGGCGTGGCTGGGTCGGTGGAGGTGGGGAACTGCACTTCCCAGAGGGCATCGCGATGTCGGCCCGAAAGGCTGCTATGTCTTCGCGCCTGCTCAGTAATTGTCACCTACCCCGTCTAAGACTCGAGCCGTGCAAAAGCCACATCAAGGGACCCGCGAAGGGCTCGGCACCCTAGGCTGAAGGTGTGCGGCCACCTCTCTCCCTCCCTCACGCACTCATCCGGTTTTGCTTCAGCATCTTCTAAGTTACCTACGTGCAGATGAAGACGCTTAGACCGACAGGGTCTTGTCGCTTTCCCGAGGGCGCTAGGTGGGGATACCGGTGGTGGGCCGTCTGGGAATGAGGGGATCCAGGGATGGGAGTCCCCGAGGGTGAGAAGGCCCTACGGGTGGAGTGCTCCAGCCAACGCTCACCGGCGTCTTTTCCGCAAAGCACGTGCCCGCATCAGCGACGAGGGCCTGTTTTGTGCACTTTGCTGGCCCCGTAACACCTGGCCCAGCGTGGGCGCGCAAATAAACGTATGATGAGTTCTCTGCCCGTAATGAGCAGAGATCGCAAGAAGGACTTCAACTCACAATTGTCTTTTCACAATGTCAGGTTTATGAACACATTTCCGGGCTAGCCAACATGGCCGCCTCCACACACGGAGGACTTACGCAGGCCAGCGAGGGTCAAAAGGGTGAAGTCAAAGTCCCTGTCTGCACACACGCCTGGGGGTCGCCTGGGGCTTGATGGTCACGCTGCCTGGCCTGCTCTGCCGCTCTCCTCCTGTGCTCCTCGGCGCCGGGACTGTACGACTCAGAGTCTGCGTAGCTCAGAGCGGGACGACGCCTGCCTTAGCGGCTGGCGGAGGACTCGGACTCGCTCAGGCAACGGCTGTCGTCTTGCTAGTCCTGAGGTGAGCTGCAGTCACACCACACAGTGCCAGTCTTGCTTTTCCAGATTCCAAGCAAACAGGATCAAAACATGTTCACAGTACTTGACTGCACACAAGTCTTTTATGAAAACAACTTGTTTACGAAGGAATTGTAGCAAACAAATGTATCAAAGTCAATGTTCCAAAAACAAGTTTACGCCACTCAAACCCTGTGTTATTTCACACACGGCTGTCTACGCATCTCCCTGCCCCGGGGGCCTGCACGCTGGTGCAGGTTGGAGGCAGCGGTGGGTGCCGGGGAGAGGACCAGGCCTACTACTACAAGCCTCACTCCTCTGCCTGCAGGGACGCCGTGTTAGAACCACTGAGAAGGTAGGCATGGGGGGATACAGAGTCTGGAGGGGAGCAGGAAGTGAGGGGCAGTGGGAAAGTGCTGCTGCGAGCTCAGAACCTCGGTGTGTGGACGCCTGCCAGGACAGAGCCAGCTGCAGAGGTCCGCTTCCTCTGGACTATATGGGCAGTGTGGTTCCCAGCAGCAGCTCTGGCCTGCGAACTCTGTCCCTGTTTTTTGCTGCTGGTCACCCCCCAAAACTCTAGGGTACCATGCTGACACCCCTTGGAGCTGCCCCAAGGAAGGGTGTGAAGGAGACCACTTGGGCAAAGCTCGCTCCTTTCTTCCTGGCCAAGGCACTGCTGACCCAGACATGTAGTGTGGGTAGCCACCTGAAGGAGAGTTTGAGGATGACACAGGTTTTGACACCTGGAAAAGGGGAATTGAAAGGTCAGTATCTGATACCAACTTTCTTATCACAGTGCCTGTGGTAAGTCCTTGCCTGTGTTTGGGGCCTCCAGTCCCATCTTCTTGCTTGAGGTCTGCTTCCTCTTAGTAAAAGGCTCCTTCTCCCTGCTTCTGCCCTCACCGCACCCTTAGTGCCAACATCCCTAAACTTTGCTGTTCCCTAACTTAAAAAAAAAACAATAGTGCCATGGAAGAAAGCCACACCACCGTTTCCATTTATACAGGAGCTTGGTCCCTCTGGCTCACCCTCCCCTCTCTGACCAGGCTTGGGCTCCACTTTGTAGACTGGGCCATCTGCTCCCTAAAAGCCGTTCACCATCATCCAGTTCCATGAATGACCAGTTTCCCAAAACACAGTTTGGTGAATAGGCCCTTCTGGGTATTATGGAGTAGCCCTCCCCAGGCCCCTGTTCCTGTGCCCTCTTGTATCCCAATGCATAATAGTTGGAGAGAACTGTCTTGAATCTGGGTGAAGGTGTTTATTTGGCAGTTCTGGATAGGGACAGCTCTGGTGGTGTGATGGGTAAGGCATTTGGTTGCTAACCAGAAGGCCAATGGTTTAAGCCTGCCAGCTACT